AAAAAAAAAAAAAAAAGACAATGAATAAAATTAAATAAAATAATTCTTTAAAAAATTCATCTTTCATGTCCAAAAATGATTTTCTCTTTTCCTGGAACAGATTGTCTGTTTTCTGTTGCATCTCAATGAATTTTGTCACTATGAATATTCGAAATTTTTTCCCTGACATTTCTGTGCATCCTTCTGTGCTGTCCAGTGTTGGTGAGTGGCTACTGCTCTCACTTGGGGTAGAGTTACTTCCTTGTTTTCTCATATTTCTTCGAGATCTGTATTGGGTTTTGGTCATCTGGTGTAGTATTCACTTTTTCCTGTTTATCAGAGTAGATTCTGTAGCACTGGAAGAGGAAATTTCACTCCTAGTTACCAGGTGTGTTCCTATTGGCTGACTATTTCTCTCAGATCAGAGCTGTTTTGGGTACTTTCAGGTGCTTGACTTTTCTACCAAATGTTTAGCTCTACCAAATGAGGTGGTAGCAAGCTAAGGAGATATGATTTAATGAAGAGGACCAGGTCCCACACTGTGCCCAACTGGTGTGTTGAAAAGTTACTCCCAGGACCTTGGGGTACACTCATGAGAGGAGTCTTGCCCAGACCAGGCCCTAGTCTCCATGTAGATGTGGCGACCCTAGGGCACCCGAACACCAGGCGACCCAGTGGTGTAAGGTCCAAAGTTACTCCTAGACTCAAGTCTGCTGGTGGATGGGGTGAGCCCAAGTGCTACAGCACCAGGAGGTAGAGTGGCGAGAGTTCCAAAGTTATTCCCAGCTGTTATTTCTCCTTTTTTTTTTTTTTTTGGAGAGGTTTTTGCTGCAGGGCGTGTACATTTGCCAGATAAACAGAGAGACAAAAAGTGATAAATCACCCCCCGGAGGGATGGCCATGCCACGATCCCTTCTCCTCCATTCTCCTCTCGGGATCTTGGGATCTTGGGCACGCACACACAAGCACCCGGCATGAGTTTTAAGCCACTGAGTCCCGGACTTGAACTGTGGTCAACTACATGGGAGTCCAGCGACATAGCCATTATGCTAACTGGTGGTCCCACCAGCTGTTATTTCTTCTTTAAGTGTTTAATAAACCACTAAAGCCACTTGAGCTTGACAGTTTACTTTTCAGAAACTTTTAACTATGAATTCATTTTCTTTAGTACTTATTTGACTATTCAAACTATTTCATCTTATATGTGTTTTGGTAGTTTTACATTTATTTTACTCTCCCTTTTTTAAAAATTTCTTATTTTTTGAAGTTTATTCATTTACGTCTTCCATGAGATCCACCCGCAACCTCAGCCAGCCTAGATCATGGTCGTGTGTGTGCACACTCAGAGTCTATAGGAAGGTCTTGGGACATGAACCTTGGGAATCCTCTTGTGGGTCTACCATTGCAGAGTGTTATGTTACTACTCTGGCATTCTCTTGCCTCTTTTTCTACTCTCTTGAAATAGAGACTTAAATCGTTGATTTGAGACCTTCCTTTCCCTTTAATATGAGTATTTTCAGTGCTATAAATTTCTCTCTAAATTCTGCTCTAACTACATATACAGATTTATATGATACATAGTTATTTTCATTTAGTTCAGTGGGGTTGTTTTGGTAGAGGTTTTTGCCTTAGGGCATTTGTGTTCACTGGAGAGAGAGACAGTGAGAGGGAAGTGAGGAATCACTCAGGGGGAGTGATTCTCTTCTCCTCCATTCTCCTCTCAGGATCTTGGGCATACATGTACAAGCACCTGGTGTGAGTTTCAGGCCACCAGGTCCAGGACTCGAACTGTGGTCAACCATGTGGGAGTCCAGTGATGCAACCACTATACCATCTGCTAGTCTTTAGTTCATTTTTATTTTTTTTTAATTTCTCTAGAATTTTGTCTCTGACTCATGGATTTGTTTAGAAGTGTGTTCTTTAATACTCAAGTATTTTGCTCTTTTTGTGTTACCTTTTTGTTTTTCTAGTTTGATTCTGTTACTGTAAAAATATGCTTTGTGTGATATCACTTCTCTTGAAATCGTTAAGAATGTTTTACATCCCAAGATGTCGTCTCTCTTTACGAAGCTCCATGCATGCCTGAAAGAATGTATATTATGTTGTTTGGGTGGATTGTTTTATAAATTTCAAGTAGATTTTATTGGTTGTTGTATGGTTTTGTTCTGTATTCTTTCTTATTTTCTGTTGAGTGATTCTATCCATTACTGAGAAGAATGTTAAAGTCCCTGACAATCCAGTGTTGGATTTGTTTATTTCTCCTTTCAGTTGTGTCAATATTTACTTCATATTTTTAAAAATTCTGTTATTCATGGCAAACAAATTAAACAAATAAAACATTGTCCTCTTGGTGGATTGTACCTTTTTAATTACGATGTAAAGGTCTCTCTCTGTCCTTGGTACTTTTCTCTACTTTAATGTCTACTTTGTCTGAATGCTTATTTATTAACAATGTTCTCAAGCAGAGTAAGTGATTCATAAAGCAGAGCCCTATGTAAGTTTGAACACATGGACTGGTTGTTTATTTTAGGATGTCTTATATATACCATTTTATCCTCTGTAAAGAGTACCATGCGTGTGTAATGATCCATTTGAGGTGACCAGATGGTAGCACAGTGATCACCACATGCTGTTTGACAAACCCATATGAAAAGTTTTAGGGTTTGTTTCTGGAGACCTCCCTAAACAGTGGGTGCACGTGCTCGTGATCCAGGGTTGATTGACCCTGTTGGGGGATACTGTCTCCATGTCTCTCTCTGTTGCACATGAGCTCATGAAGAAATAAATAAATTACCTTTAAAAATCCATTTCATGTAGCTAACATGGAATTGACAGGATTTCAACTAGCTTTAATGGGCAATCTCAAAATTAATATTATTGTAGTTTTAAACGATAACAGTTTGGGCCGGCCAGTGGCATGGTGGTTGAGGATCTTACTTGGCTGACTGCATAGTTTGAATTTCAGAACCAGTAGGTTGAAGAACATCCTGGGTGTATGTGCACATATGTCCAAGTCCTTAAAGGTGGGAGAAATGAAGAAGGGCTTGAGATGTGGCCATCTCCATGGGGAGTATTTTCTCATCCCCCCCACAACTTTCTTTGAACACATATGCTCTATGGCAAAAAATAAAGGGACTGGTCATGCCCCAATTCCTTCTCCATTCTCCTCCCAGGATCTTGATTATGAATGCACATGCTTTCGGCATGAGTTTCAAGCCTCTAGGTCCAGGACTTGAACTGCTGTTGGTATGTGGGAGTCCAGTGATGTAATCACTACACCATTTGCTGGCCCAATAATGGTTTATATTTGAAAGTTATCTTTTTTTAAAGGAATTATTTATTTAATTTCATTTATTCATTCATTTATTTTAATTTGACCAGAGAGAGACACAGACAGAGAAAGGGAAGTAAGAAAGCAAACCACCAAATCTGGGACTTGAACCGTGGTCGGCCATGTGGGAATGTCCAGCACCTTAACCATTACATTACCTGCTGGTCCCTGAATATCATCTTTTTTTTTTTTTTTTTTTTTTTTTTTTTTGAGAGAGGTTTTCACTATAGGGCACGTGCGCTTGCCAGACAGACAGAGAGAGACAGAAAGCGAGAAATCACCCCCCAGGGGGGATGGTCACGCCACAATCCCTTCTCCTCCATTCTCCTCTCGGGATCTTGGGCACGCATGCACACGCGCCCGGCGTGAGTTTTAAGCCACTGGGTCCGGGACACGAACCGCGGTCAACTACATGGGAGTCCAGCGACATAGCCATTATGTTAACTGCTGGCTCCCTGAATATCATCTTTTTACAAAGATTTTATGAAACATAATATAGGTGAAAAAACTACTGGCACAAAAAACTTTTATATATACACTGCTTATTTTTGTTGATTATAATTTCAAAATGTCTGTTTACTTGAAAAAATGCAAGACCTTTTTTATTTATTTTATTTGCCAGAGGGCACATGCAGTCACCAGAGAGAAAGTGAGAAAGCAGCCTCCTCTTCGCCCCCGCCCCCTGGATCATGGTCACGCTACAATCTTTCTCTACTTTTTCTTTTTTAGGATTTTAGGCATGCGTGCATATACACCCAGCGTGGTTTTTTTTTTTTTTTTTTTAGTTTTGCTCTAGGACATGTTCACTTGACGGAGAGAGAAAGTGAGAAAGCACCCCTCCACACTCACCCCAGGGGAATGACCATGCTGCAATCCCTTCTCCTCCATTCTCCCTCTTGAGATTTTGGGAATGGACACACATGTGCCCAGTGTGATTTTTAAGCCCACCAGGTCTGGAACTTGAACTGCAGAGTTGGCCATGTGGGATCCAGCCGCCTTAACCTTCATACCACCTGGCTGGGCCAACCTGGTGTGTTTTTCAAGCCACTAAGTCTGGGACTCAAACCATGCAGTTCAGCGTGTGGAATCCAGCCATCCAAATTACCACAACACCTTCTGGCACTATTTTATTTTTTTCAAAATGAAACCCAAATTTAAGATTTTAAAAATCCTTCGTCAATTATAAGATTACCATATAAAATGCAATTTCTTCTACTACATGCATATCAGGATTCTAACTGTGCAGTGCTTTTCTCTAGACATTTAATTTCCTTTTCAGTGTATTCAGAGAATCAGCCCAGTTGGACTCTGCAAACTAAACCATGGATTTCCAACGAATACAAAACCATGTGGTTCAGATCCCATAGAATGACCTTCTCCTATCTGAATAGGATGAAAAGTTGCAGGTGAGCTTATTTATTTATTTATTTATTTAGGTTTTTGCCATAGGGCATGTGTGCTCACAAGAGAGAGACAGTGAAAGGAAAAGTAAGAAATCACTCCCCGCCCCAGCACGGATGGCCATGCCACAGTCCTTTCTCCTGCATTCTCCTCCTGGGATTTGGGGCATGCATGCATACATACCCAGTGTGATTTTCAAGCTGCCAAGTTTGGGACTTGAAGCACTGTTGGCCATGTGGGAGTCTAGCACCTTAACCACCGTGCTACCTACTGGCCCCAGAGCTTATTTATTAATGTGGGAAATATTTACATAATTATGTGCAGTACTTACTAGTTTAGTATTGATTGTGTTTAATAAACCCGGTCAATATGCAATTGTTCATATGGTTTGATTCAAATAGCTTCTATATTTTTAACAATTTATTTTCTAAGAACTTTATTTTCTTGGGATTTTTTTTGCTATAGAGCACGTGCACTCACCAAAGAGACAGAGAAATCACCCCCTAGGGGAAATGGCCATGCTGCAACCTTTTTTCTTCCATTATCCTCTTGAGATCTTGGACACGCACATACACATACCTAGCATGAGTTTTAAGTTACCAGGTCCAGGACTTAAACCACGGTCGACTATGTGGGAGTCCAACAATGTAACCATTACACCATCTGCTGGTCCCTATTTTCTAACAACTTTTAAATTTGGAAAATTTCAAGCCTACAGAAAAGTTGATAGAGTAATATAATATGTAGCCATTTCATATACTTCATTCAGAAATAGTTTTTATTTTAATATAAGACAGTATTACTTGGGGAGTTTAAAATTTTTTTCTCATAGTATCTTTATGATAGGGTACAAATAATTCAGTACTTCAAATCTTAAATGACTTCAGTTCAACATAAATGTGATAAGGTGCATAAGTATGCATTTTTTTTTTTGGAGAGATTTTCGCTGTAGGGTGCGTGCGCTCGCCAGACAGACAGAGAGAGACATTAGAGACAGAAAGTGAGAAATCACCCCCCAGGGGGGATGGTCACGCCGCAATCCCTTCTCCTCCATTCTCCTCTCGGGATCTTGGGCATGCACGCACGCACACACGCCCAGCATGAGTTTTAAGCTACTGGGTCCGGGACGTGAACCACGGTCGGCTACGTGGGAGTCCAGCGACATAGCCATTACGCTAACTGCTGGTTCCCTAAGTATGCATTTTTTAAGAATTGTTTTTATTTAACTTTATTTATTCATTCATTTATTTATTTATTTATTTTAATTGGACCAAAGATAGACACAGAGACAGAAAAGAAAGAAAAGTGAGAAAACAAGCCACCAGGTCCCTGACTTAAATCTCTGTCAGCCATGTGGGAGTCCAGAGCCCTTAACCACCATGCCACCTGCTGGCTCCAAAGTATGCATTCTTGATAGTGGGACTGAATCAAAGAATATCTTTCTGTAATTGTATTTTATAAGCCAGTTTCTAACCTTGTGAATAATGTAGCATAGCATTAAACTTGACCTTTATATTCTAAGTTGGCTTAAAACTCATGCAGGGTGCATGTGTGTGCATGCCCAAAATCTCGAGAGGAGAATGGAGGAGAAGGGATTGTGGTGTGGCCTTCCCCCCTAGGTGGTGATTTCTTGTTTTCTGTCTCTCTGTCTCTTTCTATCTCTCCATCAAGCACACATGCCTGTTACAAAAATCTCTCTCAAGGAAAATAATAGAATTTTAAAATTTAATTTTGTTATTGTTATTATATTATTTTTTTTCTATAGGGCACATGTGCTCACCAGAGAGAGATAAGGAAAGTGAGAAAGCAAGCCTCCAGGTCTGGGACTTGATCTGTGGTCTGCCATGTGGGAGTCCAGCATCCTAACCATCACGCCACTTGCTGGCCCCAGATCCCACATGCCCAACAGTAGTTTGAGTCCATGCCAACTGCCATGCCATTTGCTGGCTCCTCAGGGAAGACTTCTTAGGTACCATTCCATTTCCACTAAGATCTGAAAGATGAAAAGGAATTAACTAGATGTTTGGGGAAGGTAAAATAGAATGTGGGAGGAATGTCCAAGCAGAGGGACCAATTCACGTTACGTGAGCAAGCCTGGTTGGTTCAGAGAATTGAAAGGAGGCCCATATGACTGGAGTAGAGAAGATGAGACTGGTAGGATGATAGTTTGGAGAAGAAAGAAATTGGGAACTAAATCACAATTTTGTAAGTCACGTAAAAGATTTTGGTCTTTTTCCTAATGGCACTGGGAAGCCATCGAAGCATGTTATGTGGGAAAATAGCATGATCAAATTTATATTACTTATATTTTGAAACAGTCACTCTGGTTGAATCCTGAACAGATTGGAAGAGGAGAAAGTAGGAAGCAGCTATACTAATTAGCAGGCTAGAATATTTTAGACAAGAGATGATGGGGTCTTGGACTAGGGTCCTAGCAGTAGAAATGGTGGGAAGAATAGGAGGCACCTAGGTTCAAATGCTAGTTCCACTATTTATGGTCACCCCTCAGTATTTGTGAAGGACTGGGTCCAGGACCCCAGCAGATACCAAAATTAGCAGATAAGCAAGTCCCTTGTATATAACGGCATAGTATTTGCATAAAACATCTTCCTATGTGCTTTAAATCATTCTCTAGATTACTTAGAATACCTGATAAAACACAAATGTTATAGAAGTTGTTACTCTGTGTTGTTTAGGTAATAATTACAAGGAAGAAAGTTTGTATATGTTCAGAACAGATGCAACCAGTTTTTTTTTTCAATTATTTTTGATCCAGGATTGGTTGAGTCCGCAGATGCAGACTCTGCGGATACAGAAGCCCAACTGTACTTAATCTCTCTGAGCCTCCCTTTTCTTATCTGTAAAACAGGATAATAGTAGTACCTTGTGAAGTAGTCACAACATTTAAATGAGATATGACCTATGTGGAATTCTTATACAGTACCTGCCATTTAATAAGTGATTAATAAATGGTAGTTATTTTATTATTAGGTGTAACTCAAAAGGCCAAGTTTTATGAAGTTCTGTTTTAAGTAACTTACTTCAAAAGGAAATTATTTTGTTTCATCTGTGAATATATATTCACATCTATATGTAAATATACACATATGTGTGTGTTTATATATGTGTGTATTTATATATTTATAAGCAGCGTGATTATAAGCAGGCTTGGTTTTAGGCCCAGGTATGTGTGCTGCTAAGATGCTGCCCTGTGGAGGCTTTGACCACATGGGAGACCCCATTCAATTCCTGGTTCAACCTAAAGGCTGTGCATGGTGGTAGTGTGTGTCTATGGTCCCAGCTGCTTGGGAGACTGAGGCATGATGACCACAACATGAGGAGATTTTATCTTAAAAGAAAAGGGGAAAAAACACTTGTTTTTAAAGTATCAAAAAAAGCAAGCAATATATGTATGAAGGAGTCCTTGAAAATTCATGGTAAATGCATATTATAAGAAAAGCATGAGTGGATTTCAAAATTTTCTGTAGCAAAATAAATTCACACTTGAATTCTATTTTCCTATGAAACTTTTGAAGTCTTCTTATATTTAGCATCTAGTAAATTGTAAATAAGGATATCTTTCTACACCATATAGCCCATGTTGCAGGTTTTAAAGTGGCATTTTTGCCTGACTCTTTAATTTTACCTTTTAGGTATCTTTGGACGAGACTATACAGTACTTCACAAACTACTGTTGACAGCAGTGAGGTTAAAACCTTCCAGGCCCTGGCCCAGAAGTGGTGGGATGAGGAAGGAATATATGCACCTCTTCATTCTATGAATGACCTGAGGGTGCCATTTATAAGGTAATATTCCAAAAATGCTAAGTCTTTTGAAGTGTAACTTTTATAGAATTCATCTTATTTTGCATTCATTTTTCTCTTACTTTATACTTGGGTTTAAAATGGTACAGTTTCAGCAAAGGACACAGTAATTAGTGTGAATTGACAATCCTCAGGATGGGAAAATATTTTTGTAAAATATGCCTCAGATAAGGAACTAATAACCAGAATACACAAGGGAACTCAAGTGACTTACCTGAAAAAAAAAAGATAAACTCAATTAAAGGATGGGAAAATGAGCTGAACAAAAACCTCTCTAAGGAAGACATACCAAGAGCCAAAAAGCATATGAGGAAATGCTCAACATCCCTCATCATAAGGGAGATGCAAATTAAAACCACAATGAGATACCTCCTAACCTCTGTCCGCATGGCAAAGATTAAAAATATGAAAAATGGTAAGTGTGGGTAGGGATTTGGTGAAAGGGGAACTCTCCTACACTCTTCGTGGAAATGTAAATTGGTTTAGTCACTGTGGAAAACAATATGGAGGTTCCTCAAAGACCTACAAATAGAACCACCATATGATCTAAATATCCCACTCCTGGGTAACTACCCTCAGGACAGGAGGAAAAGCATTTGCACATCAGTGCTTATTGTGTCATTTTCACGATTGCTAAGACATGGAACCAACCAAAATGTCTATAAGTAGAAGAATGGATTGAAAAAGTGTGGCACATATACTCTATGGAATACTATTCTGCCATAAAAAAAAAAGACGACCCTGGCATTTGATAGAAAATGGTCAAATATGGAAGATTTACTGCTGAGTGAAGCAAACCAGGGTATGAAAGTTATTGTATGTCTCTACTTTATTATATACTGATTATCCTCACTCCAATAAAGAGTGATAGACTGGAGGGCATAAACTGGAGGGCATAAACTGGAGGGCATAAAAGCAGTGAAAATAGTTATGGACCTGGAGATAGTGTGGAAGGAGGATGGGAGAAGGGAAGAGTATAGGGAAGGAAATCAGGGAGAAAAAAAAGAGAGAAGAAACACAGAAATGGTTTATTATCTATTGATCATAACATGTATAGTATTCTGACCTGAACTGGTCTAAGATGTATTTCATGTTATGTAAATTCTCTTTACAAGCTGAATGATGTATAGCAATCAAATGTTTAAAAAAAAAACATAAGAATAGTAAAAATTTTTTTTAAATCTATTAAAAAAACGATGCATCTTACTTTGGAAGTTAGAGAGACTCTTTGATATCCACTATTCAGCACCATTAATTTTCTTTTTAATTGCTAGAGGTCGTAAGCAGTTTTAAATTTTAATTGCCAAGGGATTAGAGGAGAGAGAAAGCACACCACCACCACCACCGCCACCACCTCTCCCCAGTAGATGGACGTCTTCACGCCACAATCTTTTTCCTTCATTTCTCTGTCCTGTCAGGATTTAGGGCACGTATGTACCACGTGCATTTTTCAAGCTGCTGGGCCTGGGACTTGAGCCATCATCAGTCATGTGGGATCCAGGTTTCAATGCACAGAGCTTCAATGCCACACTATAGGGCTCGCCCTAAAACCATTATTTTGTTTGTTTGTTTTTAAGATTTTTGCGTTAGAAACCTTAAAGGCAACCTGGGGCATGTGCATTCACCAGAAAGAGACTGAAAGGGATGGTAAGAAATCACCCCCTAGGGGGATGGCCATGCCTCAGTCCTTTCTCCTCCATTCTCCTCTTGGGATTTTGGGTATGCATGGACATGTGCCCAGCTTGATTTTCCAAGCCTCCAGGTCCAGGACTAACCATGGAAGTTAATACCTTAACCACCATGCCACCTGCTGGGCCTGACTATTAGTTTAGTTTTGTTTTGTTTTAAAAAATTATTTATTCAAATACATTTATTATTATTATTACTTTTTAATTTGACCAGAGAAAGGGAGAGCAGGAAAGTAAGAAAATAAGCCATCAGGTCCAGGACTTGAACTGTGGTCGACCATATGGGAGTCCAGTGCCTTAACTACATGCCACCTGCTGGTCCCATCCACCATTAAGTTTTATTAACATCACCCAAATTATAGGCTGCTTCCATGACATAACTTAAAGCATTTTTAAACATTATCAGGTTAATTCGAATTAAATTCTTAGAAAAGGAACTAGGGTCCTATCCCACGAAGGCCATTTTATAACTATAAATCTACAGTGTCCTACTGTTCTTTAGGCAGTTCCGTTAAAGGAAATACTGCTGAGACAGTTTGATTTAACAGATCATTTTTTGAGAATTTACCTTGTACAGAGCCTGAGGGCTGGACTTAATTTTTCGTTTCTTTTGGATCACTGATTTTCAAAGTAAGTGTAGACTCTGAACCAGCAATATCATCACTCTTACTTGGAAATTCATTAGAACTGTAAAATCTCAGGTTTCCTCTCCTGCCAGCTGCTCTGGACTATCAGTGGTCTGTGTTTTAGCAAACCTTCCAAGTGATTTTGATGCAGTCTAAGTTTGATAACTCTTCTATTTAATATATTGTGACTTTTTTTTTGTTTTAAGACAGGGTCTTGTCATGTCTGATCCTCCTATGTCAGCCTCCCGACCAGCTGGGACCACAGGTGCACACTGCCATACGTGGCTCTTCCAGACAGGGTCTCACTATGTTGACCAAGCCAGTCTTGAGCTTGTTACCCCTTGCCTCAGCTTTCAAAACCTGCAGGAATTACAGGAGCATGCCACCACACCAGGCCTTTAGGTTGGATCTGGAATCCAATCCTGGGCTCCCATGTGGTTTGAGCCTGTGGAACTCACCATATTAGTGCTTGACATTATAACTGGACCTGTGACATCTTTATTTACACGTCATATGAAACAGATCACTCAGAGGGGTGAAAGCTATGGTTAAAAGTTTAGGTTTTATTTTGAGCATAGTTGTATGTCATTAAGGGCAGTAATACGATCTAGATTATGCTATAAAGGAATCATTCTGGAAACTATTTGAAGAACTAATGGGTCTTTATTTGAAATGGGTCCTTTCAGTGTTATAGTCTAAAGAGATCTGCTTGATGACTATCCACGTCATTCTGATTATTTAATTGATTTTAATAAAAATAAAAAATATTGGGACCAGCAGATGGCATACTGGTTACATCACTGGACTCTCATGTAGCCGACCATGGTTTGAGTCCCTGTCCCAGCAGCTTGAAACTTACACCAAGCATGAGGACATGCATGCCCAAAATCTCGAGAGGAGAATGGAGAAGGGATTGCAGCCTGGCCATCCCCCCAGGGGTGATTTCTCACTTTCTGTCTCTCTGGTGAACCTACGTGCCCTCTAGCAAAAATCTCTCTCAAAGAAAGAAAAAAAATCTTGATAGCCTCATTATATATAATATTTATTTTAGTAAAAGTATAACTAAAATTTATGTATAGTTCAATTTAAAAATGTCTTTATAGTCCTCTTAGGTATATATCTACCTGTATGTGTTGCGTGCATGTGTGTTTGTGTTTGCAGTATAGCATTGCTATGATTATCTTAGAATTAAATTTACTTGATTTGGATGCTTATTTACATGCTCTTAAATGAGGACACCACTAACTTAAAAGATTAAAAGAGATTTAATTTAGAAGAGAATATAGGCAAATTCTAAAAATATGTCTCCCATAATAATTGATTTGTTGCTAACATGAAATGGGTTTAATAATTACTGAAAACATAGCTAGTGTTTCAGGTGTCGTGATATCGCAAGCACATAAAATTGGGTTAATCTAAGCTACAGTATTGATATTTTGTACATTTATTATTACTAAAGTAATAATAAAGTTATAACTACTGTTGGGTTATTTTAGAACTTTGCTTTAAAACTCCTGCTTTGGGTCATTGCAAATGTTTTATAAATTAAATATGTCATTTAGTGCTGAAAATAAAAGATGTATTTATCTAAAATATCAATATCTATTTAAAAAAGAGTTAATATTTTCTTGAAAATTGTCTATTTTTAAAACTTTTCATTGATAATATTAATCATTTGTTTTCATATGTTTTTAATTTTTTTTAAGAGACAATCTTTTGAAAGCAGTTGCTAATCACCAGCCAGGAAAACCTTTGTCTGGGATGAAGATTCTCGATGTTGGCTGCGGTGGTGGATTGTTAACTGAAGTAGGTGACTTATAATTTTTCTACTATTGTCTATATATTTATTATATATTTGGCAGAGGGCATATGCACTCACTGGATAGAGACAGAGACATGAAAAGGAACCAAGGGGAATATCGCAATCCCTTTTCTTCTATCTTTCCTTCCTTTCAAGATGTTTGGGCACACACACCCCCAATGTGTTTTCTTTTAATTTGACTAGAGAGGGACAGTGTGTGTGAAAGAGAAAGAGAGAAAGCAACATGCCAGTTCCACAACTTGAACCATAGTTGGCCATGTGGGAGTTCAGTGCACTTAACCATCACACCACCTGCTGGCTCCTCCCAATGTGTTTTTCAAGCCATGGGTCTCTGACTTGAACCTTGTGGTCCCCGATGTGGGATCCATCTGCCTTAACTATCAAGCCACAAACTGGCCCTTTCCTGCCATTTTTAACTAGAGAAAAAAGAATTGAGAGAAACAGGGCTTGTACCTCATTTAGCCATTTCAACAAATAATATTGTTCAGCATTTTTAAAAAGAAATGCATAATGTAGATTTTAAAAAAAATTGATATAGGGTGCATGTACCTGCTGAGAGAGAGGGAGAGAGAGACAGATAGTGCAAGTGAGAAAGTATCCCCTATGCGTGAATGACCACACTGCAATCCCTTTTCGTCCATTTTCCTCTCAGGATTTTGGGCATGCACATACATGCACAGATGTGTTTTCCTTTTTTCTTTCTTTAGAGAGAGATTTTGCTATGGGGCAGGTGTACTCACTGGAGAGACAGAGAGAAAGAAAGTGAAAAGTCACCCCCTGGGGGGATGGTCACTCTGCATTCCATTCGCCATTCTCCTCTCTGGACTTCAGGCATGCACGCACATTTGCCTTTTGTGGGGCTTTTCTTTTCTTTGTTGCTTTAGGGTATGTAGAAGGATTGTCCTTCCTATGAAAAGTATTTGCTTTAGTTTATACATCTATGCCTTGTAGTTCTATTTTGTCTTCTGTGAACACAAGAACTTTCTGGTTGCCCCCTAATTTGATCTTTGAAAGATATTTTAAGCAACAGTAGAATACAAATGTAAGTTAAGATTCACTGGAAAGTGGAACTGTCAAGGTCCATAACTCAACCAAAGTAGACAGTGAAGCTGACAGAGGCTTTTGATGTACAGCTATGTTCCCACATGCATGGAAATCATGTTCTTTACTTGGCAGTGAGCTAATTTCTTTGGTTGTTAGTTATGAAATTTCAGGAGACTTAAAGTACAATTTATACTTCACGCTTACTGATTAACCTTGTTAATATAAATACTATGTAAGTTTTTACTAAAATTAAGCCTCTTGGGGCCAGCACATGGCATGGTGGTTGGGGGCCCTGGTCTCCCACGTGGCCAACCATGGTTTGAGTCCTAGACCTGGCAACTTGCTTTCTCACTTTCCCTTTCTCTCCCCCCTCTATCTTTGGTCTATTAAAATAAATAAATAAATACAGTTAAATAAAATAATTCTTAAAAAAACAAAAGGATTAAACTGTTGGGCTGACCCCATAGCCAAGGTTGATCCAACATAGCCAACAGTGGATCAAATCCCAACCCCAGCTCTTTCAAAAACATGTCTGGCGAATGTGCCCATGTACCCAAAGTTAGCGTAATGACTATGTCGCTGGACTCCCACGTAGTCGACCGCGGTTTGAGTACTGCACCCGGTGGCTTAAACTCACGCTGGGCCCATGTGCGTGTGTTCCCAAGATCCTGAGAGGAGAATGGAGGAGAAGAGATTGCACCCCGGGGGGTGATTTCTTGCTTTCTGTCTCTCTGTTTCTCTGTCTTTCTGGCGAGCACACGCGCCCTATAGAAAAAAACCGTTCCAAAAAAAAAACAAAAAAAGTTAATACTGTGCAACATGCATGTAAATGTACCTAGAGAGTATAGATAATTTTTTCCACTGTTCTCAAGTGGCTCTTGATAAGATTTTTATTGTTTTAAATCGTTGTTCTCGGGACCAGCGGTTAGCATAATGGCTGTGTCTCTCAACTCCCATGTAGTCGGCCACAGTTCAAGTCCTGGACCCGGTGGCTTAAATGCCAGGCACGTGTGCTTGCGTGCCCAAGATCCCGAGAGGAGAATGAAGGAGAAGGGATTGCAGCGTGGCCATCCCCCCTGGGGGGTGATTTCTCACTTTCTATCTCTCTGTCTGTCTCTGTCTCTCTGGCAAGTGCTCATGCCCTATAGCAAAAACCTCTCCAAAAAAAAAAAAACCCAAAAAATTGTTGTTCTCACTTTTAAGGTTTTGATTATGAAAAATTTGAAATGTATACACACTAGAGAAAATGGTATATGAGCTTCCATGTGCCCATAAGTGATCTCCACTACTTATCACATCATGGTGAATCTTACTTCATTTTTTGTAAGCTTTTTATTGCTAACATGTGTTCTGTTTTCTTCCTGAGGGTAACATTTTTTATTCCTCTAGCCTCTAGGGCGGCTAGGGGCTTCAGTTACTGGAATCGATCCTGTGGATAAGAACATTAAAATAGCGCGCTGCCATAAATCATTTGATCCAGTCCTGGACAAGAGGATAGAATACAGAGCCTGTTCCCTTGAAGAGATTGTGGAAGAGACTACAGAAACGTTTGATGCCGTTGTGGCTTCCGAAGTTGTTGAACACGTGATTGAATTAGAAACGTTTATACAGTGCTGCTGTCAGGTCTTGAAAGTAAGACTTATGAAATTTTCTTTGATTTTTCTTCTGAGTGTATGTATGTATCCATAGCAATGAAATGCTCCGTAATACTTCAGGAGTCCAGCAGGCAAGGTGGAGGAAAGAAGGAGCTAAAAGCCAGGATTAGGGGCATCGTCTCTGCTGGAGAGTACTTCTGCCCCACAGCTTACCCTGACACCAGGATTTTCCAGTGTCCTATTGGTATCTTGATGCCTAGGTGTCTTGAAAAATGTTGGTGCTGAACACTGGAACATAATACATTTATAGCAAAAATCTCCCATCAGTAGTCTAGATTAAGTACTTAATGAACACTGAATGACAATTACTGAGAAAATGACTTGGATTAATACTTAAAAATCAATAAAAATAATTGCTAGCATAATTACTTAAACTTACTTTGATTTGTTTAGTAATTCTGAATGTGAGCTATATATAAACAATCTTCAGCTTATGAAAGAGTATTTTATACATATGATTTTACCTACAACCAGGTGAGGAAGAAAAGGTAGGCATTGTTATTTCCTGTGACCTGTGAGGACTCAAGATTTGTGAGATGTCAAAGGTCACTAAGTGCCTAAGTGGGATTAAGACTTGATCTTTTGAATTCAAGTCCTGGTTCTTCCCGTTCATTATTAGACTTATATCATTTGCCATAGACTTAGTTCTCTGAATGTGGTTCCAAATGACCTTTTAATAAATATCCCTAAGTGTTGTTAGGGTGCCTGTATTGGCTCTGTCAGGTCAAAAGCTTACTAGAGGGGCCAGTGGTGCAGCTGTGAGACGCAGTGCTCTGTGAGGCTGAGCCACATGGGAAGGTTCCAGTTTCATGTCTGGAGGCCTCCCCGAGTACCCTGGGCACACATATGCCCATGACCAGGCTGTCTAAAGCTGGAGATGGATTAGGGTGTCGAGACCTGGTAGGGTGCTGCCTCCCTTGCCCTCTCTCTTTTTCTTTATTTGTGACAGTGTGTGTGCACACACATGAGAGAGACAGAGACGGAGAGGGAGAAGTAAACACCCTCCACAGCGTCTAATCACACCATGATTTCAGTCTTCCAGTCTGTCAGGTCTTGGGCACTTGCTGGCGTGCCCCGTGTATTTCAGACTGACAGGCCAGAGATTCACACAGTTGCCCTGTACGACCTGGCTACTCTTGAGCAGCGCATTACTGCTGTGCCTCTCTCTTTCTCTTTGTCTGCTTCACTTGCTCATAGAAGAAACAAATCTTTAAAAAATTATGAAATGATATGTGTGTGTCTATATAAGTTAAAAGATGAAATGCTTAACCCTTATCTAAATGTACGTTTACTTTTAAAATTTGCCAGGGCGTGTGTGCTCACCAGAGTAAGACAGAGATAAAAAGAGAAGGAGAGAGGGGAAGTGATCTCCACGTGTTGTGGCCATGTTGCAGTCTCTTTATTTCTCCAGCCTGTTCAGATTTTGGGTATACATGCACATGTGCCCAGCATGTTTTTTTAAGCCACCAGATCTGGGACTTGAACCACATGGACCATGTAGCTTCTAGCTCCCTTAACCACCAGGCAACCAGGTAGCTCCTAAATAAAACTTTGTTTTAAGCTTTTGCCATAAGGCGTGTGCACTCACCAGAGAGAGGCGGAAATAGTGAGAGAGAAAGTGAGAAATTCCCCCCCCCCCAGGGGAATGGCTATGCCATAATCCCTTCTCCATTTTCCTCTTGGATTTTGGGCATCCACACACACATGTGCCTGGGGTGATTTACAAGCCACCAGGTCCAGGACTCAAACTGTGTTTAGCCATGTGGAAGTCCAGCACCTACACCACCGTGCCACCTGCTGGCCCCTTTAAAACTAATTTTTGCTTTAATATAAGGCTTATATTTTAATAAATTACTATTACCACCATTTTCCTAGGATATATGATTTTTTAGAATACACATGAGATAGTCATAAGTAATTCCTTTTTAAAACTATTTTATTTAATTGTATTTATTTATTTATTTTAATTTGACCAGAGAGGGACAGAATGAGAGGGAGAGAAAGCCACTAGGTCTAGGACTTAGACCGTGGTCGGCCATGTGGGAGTTCAGCACCCCCAATGCCATGCCACCTGCCAGCCTCAATAATTCTTTTTTATTTATTTTTTTAGAGAAATTGTTGCTATAGGGTGTGCGCACTCATTGGAGAGACAGAGAAAGATGGAGAGACAGAAATTTTGAGAAATGATCCCTCAGGGGGGATGGTCATGCCACAATTCCTTCCCTCGATTCTTCTCTTAAGATCTTGGGCATGCGCACATACATGCCAGGCATGAGTTTCAAGCCACCAGTCTGGGACTTGAGCCATGGTCAATTATGTGGGAGTCCAGCAATGTAACCATTTGCCATCTGCTGGTCCTGATATTCATGAATGATTCTTAACAATATGTATTTAGAATATTAGAGTTCTACAGAGAAAAGTTACAATGTGTGATGATAATGTATGATATTTTACAGTTTCTTTTTAAGAATTATTTATGGGGCTGTCAGGTAGAGTGGTGGTTAAGGACACTGGACTCCCACATGGCTGACTGTAGTTCAAGTCTTGGACCTTGCAGCTTGCTTTCTCTCTCTCTCTCTCTCTCTCTCTCTCTTTCTCTGGTCACATTTTTAAAAACAATAACAAATAATGTTAAATAAAATAATTCTTAATTTTATTTATTATTGTTATTTTTTTATGTCAACACTCTCTTCATTTATTTGATTCCTGTCTTTGGAAAACAAGCATTTGGATAGCAAAGGTTCAGATAGTAGGAAATACCTACACATTCATAGACTGGGTTTCTTTTACTGATTTTGAATTTTTTTTTAAATTTATTTATTTATATTCATTCACTGTAGGGCATATGTGCTCATCAGAAAGTGAGAAAGCAAGCCACAGGTCTGGGACTTCAACCACAGTCCAGTCCGCCATGTGGAAGTCAAACATCACAATCACCATACCATCTGCCAGCCCCTCAGGGTTTTTTTGTTTTGTTTTGTTTTTATTTTAACTTTAAAAAATTTCTTTTTTATTTTTTTTGAGAGTTTTTTTTTTTTTTTTTTTTTTTTTTTTCTGTAGAGGGCGTGGGCCGCCCCCA